AATCCAGAACAATGATCTTCAACTTGATTGAAGGAAAGTAAGTGATCGTTTTCGAAGATTCATATTGATTGTCGGTAATGAACATGATAGGTTTTGACAGAGAATGATAAGTCTTCAAAATTTCCAATTGAGAAATCGAGTTAAGAGAAAGAAAATCATTTGAAAAACTATTTCATTAAATTGAAATCAAGAAATATGTTTAAAGAGAAAGTCTTATAAAAGTGCATTGATGATCAACGAATGAGCTAAGAAAAATATCTTTCATTATCGTCGATTAATGATCACGAACAAATACACATTTGAAAACATTTTATTCATTGTTTCACTAAATCAAACAACTTTGAAGATTTGATCTTTTACTAGATCAATATTCTTTCATTTCTCTATTTCAGAGAATGACAATCAATCTTCAACAGATTCATTTTCTTTCCTTCTATTTTATATAAATTGACTCGATTTCAAACTGAATGCCTCAATCATCGAATAAGAAAACGAATCTAGTGGGACATGACCGTACGTATCATCTTCATATCAAAGAATTCTGTTTAGACTTATGCAACTAGATCGAAAAAGGATACCAATTCACTTGAAATATGAGTATGATCAATTCTTGACACAGCTAATTTCAAAAGCCAAGTGCTATTCCTAACTATTCGTGCGATCTTCGGATTAAAATCTGATCCAATTCTTAATATAATGAAGAAATCAAACTCATTAAGTTTTCCAGCCATCGAAATAGCTGAGAGCATTGCTAAGATTTATTTGTAACCTACTGAAACAAACATAGCTACAGTCCCGTGAGTTAACTGAACAAATCATATATATCCTACATTAATTATTTCTTAGTATTTCTGTCGTTTTGTTGTTTAACAAAATATTTCGGTGGAAACAACGATTTATCGTAGACAAGTGATTTTTAATATTGAAATTGCCTTTTAACATTTTTTTTTGCCAAATAATTTAATTTAAACGGAAATGAATTTCTCAATCGTGAGGAAGATTCAGTTTATAAGATATTCAAACAAGATAACAACTTAAATCATTAGCTGATGTTCAGAATCAACTGCAATTCCTTCATATTCAATTGAGTGAAAAACTTCATATTAATATAGAAAGAAATGAAAATTTTCTACTACATAGTTTTCAAAGTAAAAACCTTTTTTCAATTTGAAGCAGAAAAATCATTACCAGAAAGTAGAAACTTGGAAAAAAAGTCTATTTCTCGCTTAAAATTGTCAACAGCAGTGACTTTAAATCATAGAAAAGAAAATTTCTATGAAGTAAAAATCGTTTGAATTAATATATTTTATTCAAATTTTTCGAGATTTCGCATAAAAACGCATATACACAAGCGTCCTTCCCAGAGGGTGAGCGTGCCACGGAAATCGTATTGAGGGTGCTAGGGAAATCTTTATCACATATACTTTAGTACATATTCCTCTGCTGAGGGTGCTAGGAAACAGTAATCCCACCTGAAAAACACATTCCATACTAGATGACTCGCAAATGAGAAATCCGAAGATTTTCATCCAAATGCGGTCAAGTTCATTCAATAAAAATGTGTTTTTCATGTGGAATCACGATTTCCGAGCACCCTCAGCAGAGAGATATGTGCGGTGTGGACTTGCGAATGTGTCTGTCTTTGGGAGCACCCTCAGTGAGAGAGAGATGCGCTGTGTGTGGTGTGATAATACCTGGTAATCCCCGGTAATGCCTTATAATCCCTAGTAATCGTTAGTAAACCCTAGTAATTCCCGGTAATCCCTGGTAGAAACTAATAGAAACTGAATTATCTTGTAATTTTTTGTTTTTGAATTACTTTGTAATTCATTTACGTCATCCAGTGATGTTGCTCCATATGAACAATCACAAGAGGCAATGCAATGCATTAACTAATCCCGCGTCATTCCTAGACTAAAATTAAAAAAAAAATTTTTCATAAGAAAATGCAAATGCTTGAGATGTGGCATCTCTTACGGAGATGTGATGAGAGACAGTATTTCTTGTAGAGATAAAGGCTAATATCAGATATTTGTAATATATGAGTAGGGTGAAAATGCTTGTATATATAAGATCTCCACGGAGATCTGTGAGATCCCAGATTTACTGGATCAGTGATAGTGCTGTTAGAAAGTTAAAAAATTATTTTTTTTTTGTGTCATACGACATTACATGGAGCCATTAAACGAATAGTTAATTGGCGATTTTTTTGAACGTTTAGCAAGAGATAATTTTAATGGATCGAAATCTGATGGATAATATTTCTAAATACGAAAAGAAAAGGTTAATTTGCCAATTAATAAAACTTATGTGTACATACGTTTAAAACTTTTCGTTCAGACATGATTTAAAATTGATCAGTTGCTAGTTGATTATGACAAAGAATAAACTCTTGCGAATAATTTGTTTTTTGTCTTTTCACATATTTATTCTCATAATATCAAAATAAAATATTTTATTTTTACTGACGAGGGAACCATCCGAGGTGCTAAAAAGCTTTTGACCTGAAATTGTGTTCACAAGTAGCGAATGCATAGAGTAGAAAAAGCTTAAAAGGATATGGACACAAGTTGAGATTTGACTAAGATATTGACTATTTACTATAATTTTCCTATAGGATCCTACTTGTCTGATAAAATCAAAGTTTCAAATTTAGGTCTAAAACTTTGTCCACACCAAGACCTCAATCAGATAAGCTTGCTTACAAAATTTCAGAAACCTTGGACAGACTATCTTCAAGATACTAGTATATTAGCAAAAAGACGCTTTTTTTTTATGGATATTATGTTTCATATGGATATTTTGGCGGATTCATATCTCGGAGATAGTCTGTCCAAAATTTCTGAAACTTTGTAGGCAAACTTGTCTGATTGAGACCTTGGTGTAGACAAAATTTCAGACCTAAATTTGAAACTTTGATTTTATCAGACAAGTAGGATCCTATAGGAAAATTATAGTAAATAGTCGATATCTTAGTCAAATCTCAACTTGTGTCCATATCCTTTTAAGCTTTTTCTACTCTGCATTTCCTAGTGGGCAAAATTTCAGGTCAAAAGCTTTTTAACACCTGGGATGGTTTCCTCGTGAGATACAAAAAGAAAAAACAACACAAAAGACAATGTTTAAATCAAGAACAACTGTTAATATATTAATTTTGAATACGTTCTATCTTATCTAATTTAATCTAATTTGCATAAAATAGCAAGAAAATAAATAGAAAAATTAATTTCGAATAAAAAGATTCATTGTCTATGATGTTAATTATCAAATAAAAATATGCTTGAATATTTTAATAAAATATTGTTAAGTTTTGAAAAAAATGTTTAATAACATTTTGATGTTATTTTTTTGTTTTTGTCAATGATGATGACGATAATACCAAAGATTCTTCATTTTGATTTCCTTCTGCAAGATAAATATATTCTATATCTATTTTTTCGATTCTTCAGATAAACAAATCTCTGTCGATGGGTCTGGCTCATTCTGGTCTTTTCTCAATCTCACCAAATTCTACTTGTACTCAAAATATGGGGTCAACGACAGTCAATAGTTCGAGATGTTTCCTCGTTAGTAAGTAACAAATATAAGGTATTCGACTTTCGAGTAACAGTTAAATCAAACAACAAGATTCTTAGAAAAATGCAGCAAGTAAGCATATGATAGTTGTACGAATCGATCATTAGCTGTTCATAAGCATTAATGGGAATAGTAAAAAAAAAGTCATGGTTTGCTTTTAATATTTTTCGCATAAGAGAGAAAATAGAGGACTTCATGAAAGTTCAAGCGACTTCATGAGCTTCATGAGACTTCATAACAAGAAGTAATAGGGGACTTTAAGACTTCATGGCTGAAGTTTTCGCTGTTTTCCTCTTATTTCCGCAATATCTCAATTTTACTTCTTCAAGAGAAAATCGCCATATTTAAATGTTTCTATTCTTTGATTGATTGATTACCTGTTGTAGCAGCAAGAACATCTTTACATAATTGTAATCAATGTGTTAAATTATTAGCTCCTAATGCTTGTAACATATAAATAAGTGTATCTTGTATATTTGAACATAATTTTGCATCGGTTTCCGTATCAATGCATAGAAAGAAGTAATTCTAAATTGGACCCGGACCCGAACTTTCAATACACTCTTAGCATCTTCAAGGAATTTTTTTTATCGTTGAATCTAATGGTCACGTTTCGTGATGATCTTGTAGTAATCAAGTTTTAATTAAACTATGTTTCTGACTAAAAATCCATTTGATGCAAAATTTTCAGACCCGGATCCGATCGGGTCCGGGACTACCCGACGGGCTCTAATTGTCATAGCTAAATGATAATTATGACCCGCTTTGGCTTCTACCGCCCGTTATATCTGTGATTGAAAATATCGCTCGTGGACATAGATATGTTTCCATAAATGTTGATTATTCTTTTTCTGACCTTATCGTTCTCTGTTCGTCTTGCATACATATTAAAATCTAAGATGTAAATGATCCTTTCTTATGTAAACTAAAACGATAAGTTCAATAATCTTAATAAAAGAGAGGATTTGATAGTACACGTAATATATATTATTGATTCGGTATCAATAAGGACGATAGATTATTCAAACAAACTCTCAGAAGTAATCAACACCGATGTATTTTTCTAAAAATAGATTATCATTCATTAGTCTTTAAATGAAAATCTTTCTAAACTATCAGTTAGAACATCCAAAATCTAAACTATTCCGATTTTAACTTCCAAAACTCTATTTTATTGGTTTCAATAAAATTTAAATCCTTTTCTTTTAGATACACAATTTTCTTTCGATGTTTACTAATGCTTTTTGATTATAGTTTCATTTTTGAAGTGTTTTTGTTCATATTTTATTTAAATAACAAAATTAACAATAATCAATCTATTTGTGTATAAAGAAAATAGTCTTTTATATATTCAGGAAATTGTTGTTGTTTTCCAGCAGAGAACTTGTGAGGATATCCAACATATTGTATTTTTGTACATAAATTTACAAAATTTTAATTTTCGCACAGTTATTTCTTGTTCTATTTCTTGTGAAATTTCGTGTCACTTTTTTCACTAGTTCATTATTCATAAGAACACGAACACCAAATGGTAAATCCATTTTAGTATCGAATAAGAATTGTTCATAGTAATCTATGCAAGTATCAATAAGATCAAGTTGTTTAAGATAAGGATATTTAATGATTGATAAATCTTGATTTTCATTCATTGATTTTCTAAATTGTTTATTAATTTGTCGTTTATGATTATGTACAGTTAATTCTTCGATGAATGGAAATGATTTTTGAATTCGAAGGAAAAATTCATGTTCAAAAGGGCGTTCATCATATAATAATATTTCGCGAACATATTTAAATATTCCACCTGGAAAATTATTCGTTATCTTATTGTAATATTTCAGTTTATATGGATATGAATAAATATGGCAATAACCTCGTTTTTGTTTTGGAAAATAATCAGCCCAGTAGATAATTTGTTTATCGTAAAAGTCGCTAAATGTCTTTTGAATATCTTCATTTGATGGTAAATTAATTTCATTATAAAAATTACTTAATGAACAAATATTAAATGTGAATTTGTTTAATTGTGGCATATGATTAATAATATTCATCTTAAAATCATTACCATCAAAAAGAGTTTTTCTTTCACCAACATTAATAGACAAATCAAGTTTTTCTAAATTTGACATTCGATGTAAAAATGGTAAAACTAATTCATCATAAACAAATATTGTCATATTACAGTGTAACCAAAAGGATTTTAAAGTAGGTAGTTTTTCCTAGAAAAAAAAACAACATTATTAATTGATTTAAATTAGATATTAATTAAATAAAAACTTTACCGTATAGTTGACTCTTCTATTCATAAAGTTAATCACAAAAACATCAACATGAAGTGTACGAAGTTGATTGAAATGTCCATCAAGTAAATAAAGACAATCATAAAAAGTTTTCAAGCAGACATGTAATTCTAACAAATTTCTAGAGATAACAGTTGGACGTGTCAAACAAAAGAATAATCGGTCATCGCACATTGAAGATCGACCAAAATTTAAATATTGTAAATTATTGAACACAGTAAAGATACGATTAAATATAATTGCGTTTGCATCATATGAAAAATCTTCTGTTTTCGGTGTACTAATATCGATAGTTAATGATAAAAGTTGATTTTTCAATGTACGAATTATGGAAGTTTCATCTAAACAATGAGAAGAGTAAAAAATCATTAGAAATTATTTTATATGAATTGCTTATATTTATCTATACTTTATTCATTTTTTTGAATAATGATATTATTTAAATATTTGATTTTCTTCTTTAGACTTATTTATTTATATTTCATCTTAAATGTTATATTAACTATTTATTTTATTCTACATTTTCTTTTTCAAAAATTTCTTTCAAATTTTAAATTGGAGATAATATCTACGTCTTTTATTTTTATATAACTATGTAAATCTCATGGATAAATCATCTCTGTTATGACAATCTTCTTCTCTTCATACTAACAAATACGAATGAAATTAAAAATCATTTTCAACTTAGTAACATCTCTAATCATCAAATTAATGAAACAAGAAATTTATCTTTGAATTTATTTCATTTATAGATTTAGATGTGTCTATTATTCAAAGAATAAAAAATATCTTACTCGTAAAAAGATCTATAGCTGTTTTTGCTTGAATATTATGTAAACTAATTCCATATAAATTCGGATAATTTCTACCACGAAGAATACGTTCCATTGAAAGTGATTCGAGGTGAAGACATTGGATTTTTTTATGAATCGAAGGTAAAATATATGAACAAAATCGATCAAGTATTAAATCAGATAATGAATAAACCAAACCATTCGATGTAGACATCATAAGAGACAAATCATTTGTAAAAATAGAATCATATATTATTTTATTTAATTGTTTATTGACACCTGATAAAGAATAAAGTACTTCTGCATTAGTCAATTTTTTAAAAATATAAATAAGAATTTCATCCGGTAAATCATTCAATTGAATATATGAATGTTCCATGTTCATCTATATCTATTTTGCTCATCTCATAAATGTCACTATTTATATTGACATACTCAAATGTTCTATCTGACCAATGTCGTCCATGGAAACAATGACACATTTTTCTATAATCTAAATTGATGATGAATGAATGAATGAATGATCGTTCGAGTAATATTTTTTTCTCTCTCTGTTCTCTCGACTGAAGGGGCAATCACATCTGGAACAAAAAAAATATATGCGTTTGTATGTAGTCATTGATTGACCTATTTTGATTATGAATATGTGACAAAGTAAATCATATACAGCTCGAAAGAGGAAAAAATTCACTATTTTCTGGAAAAACATTTCTTTCATCGTCTTTCTATTGAAGAAAAATAGGGATTGATATTTGTGCCATTACTTTTGCATCACATGTTATCAAAATAACGCAAATGTCTTCGAATAGACATGATTTTCATTGAACATGAAGAAATAAATACCTATTGTAACATCTCAACATCTCATTTTATTTCGATAAAGTGAACCTCTGAAAGTATGAGCGATTAATGAGAAACGAGATTTTGAAATTCTTCAATTTGTATATCTGAGAGAAAAATAAGTTTATCATTGAATAATCTACTTTGTTTCATTCATTATATTCTACTACATTGGAACAAAAGTCAGTAGATATTTGTACGGTAAAATTAAAGCACAGGAAATGCGAAGATTATCAGAAAAAAACTTCAAGAAACTTTGTCATGAAACATTCACTTATTGATTAGATAATGGTTACTTTTGACAGAATAAAATATGATTAGACGTGTATATATGACCAAAATAATGATTCAGAATTGTCAAAAACTCGAAAAAAAGACCAGAAGTTTCAAAATAGACAACAATGATGGGAGAATGAGGCTGAAGTTTTCATTAGTTTTGTTTTCTCAGCACATCAGTATAGAAGCACTGTAGAATAACAATTTTTCAGAGTTATTATAGGTACAGAAGTATAGAGATAATGTTAATAGTCTCTCGCCAAGGATTTTCCTGCACTCTCAGTCTGCCTCAAAGACTTTTGTCCTCATCCTCAAGCAGGGTTGCCAGATCAAAAAGTTATAAATCGGAATTTTGTTAACGGCAATTCGGTATTTTCTTATATCATTTCGGAAAAAATTCCGAAAGCAGGTGTTTGACGTTTAAATACGTATATCACCATTTTTTTTCATAGGAATATGTTTTGTTCTATCAGCATTTTGTGCGAAATTTGTTATCGATACAGCTATTTTCTTCTTCAATCTCACTTATATTCATATTCGAATGATTATATTCATCATTCATGGCTGAATTTAATTCAGTATAACATGAGACAATTATCATGTGAAAAAGCACCTTCTTAAACTTAAAGTTCAGCCTGCATTGAAGAAATTGTCGGTTCAAATAGAATATTTTTAATCAATACAGGGTATTTTCTATAGTTCGAAAAGGTTTTAGATTCAAGCAATCGTGCACTATAAATAGTCTCAAAACTTCTCGTAAGTGTCCTCGGATGTAACAAACAAAATACATATTCAAAAAAAGTCTCAAAACTGTTATATAATGATTAGAGTAGAACAATGACAGCGCATGAATTGCTAATAAAAGTTAAATTAGTAGTTGTAGTTAGACTCATTAAAACCTGAATCTAAAGGAATAACAGATTTCGGAAAAACATTCAAATTCGGAAGAATTCGGAAAGCGTTCGGAAAAAGTTTCAAAATTGGGAATTTTCCGAGTAATTCGGAAGATCTGGCAACCCTGTCCTCAGGATACCTCTTCAACTCTATCTTGTTGCCGACTGATGTTCTTTTAAAGGATTTGAATGTACCAGAAATTCAAATTCTTAAACATATAATGAAAAGATGCTGAAGATACGATTGATTCGCTTCCTTCTCGGAAAAATGTCTGAGAGAAAGAGATATTGTTTAAGACTGTTGAACTAAAATGCATATTTTAATAAAGATCGAAGTTTAAATCTTTATTTCATCTGTTTGACTATAAAATACTCGTTTATGATTCATCATCAGAAAATAAATTTCATGTGTTTACCATTGGAATTAGAATTAAAGATGAACAAGAAACAATTTTTCTCTGATGCTACCTCCATCTATCATCTGTCTATGGTATTCAAAGAAATGTAAACACATTCTTGTTTATTATTGGTCAGTACATTTATCTATTAATTGCATCGTTGTTATACTCGAAAACCAGCTGATAATCTTTATTACTATTTTCATAATCCGCAATAAGTCAGATAATTAATCAAAACAAAGTCAAAGATGAGTGAAGATAAGGGTAAATCACCCGTGGAACAACCAACGTCATCATTGACATCAACTTCTGAAATAAAAGTTCTCTATTATATTGATGATCAAGATCTACCTTATTTAACAAAATTAAATGTAACTGGTTTACCACGTTTAAAAGATTTTAAAAATGCTCTTGATCGTAATTGTTTAAAATATAAATTTTTCTTTGCTACAAATGATTCATTTATTGGAAAAGTTAAAGAAGAAATTATTAATGATGACCAAATTTTACCATTGGATACACAAGATTGTATTCTCGCTTATCTTGTTTCCATTGAAGATAGTACAACATTAAGTGGTATTGGTGGTGAAGGAGGAGGAGGAAATAAACAATCCAAACATCCTGATCATTATCGAGATGATAGAATATTAACATCAACACCAAATAGTTCATTTAATATTCAACAACCATGTTTACAACGTATGAGTCGACGTTATGCATCAACAAATAGTGCTGATTATCAAAAATGTTTTGCTAAGCAATGAGCTAGAATTGATGCTACATCATTTTCGAGTAGTGCTTTGGAATTATCAACAATATTCTTAGATGAAACGGAAGATGATAGGTTAGTGCAAACGTTTTCCGACATCTTTTGAGAAAAATATCTCCATTAAGAAATACTGGATTGCTAAGCATCTAATAACGAAAATATACATTAGGATAGAATTCAAGGATTTCTCAATATCTGATACTGAATAATGACTGATGATATTCCCTCATGCCTGCATGACAAGCGTTATCGGAATACCTTTAGTTTGTGAGAATTTCTCATGAATCTATGCTTTTCTAGTATTCAAAAAATCAAAAATCACTAGCAGCTAGTTTCATTCTTTATTTCCTTCTGTTACATTTATAGATCTTTTTAATGTGATTGCTTTTCCAAAATCTTGTTTATTTTAGATATTCAACGGTTTCTGATTCAACAACAATTTCATCACGATATCATTGTAGAAATCGACCTCGTGGCAGAAAACATCGATTACCATTAGGACTTGATCGAGTACTATTCTCTATTCGTTTCTTCTAATTTTTTTATTTAATAAATTCAGGCATCACCATTCTGCAGTCTAAATTCAGACTCAACAACGACATTAAATATTATCACGGTAACACTTAATTTAGGTATGTATTTGTTTTATCATTCATTACGTAAACTAACAGAATGTTTTTATCAGACGCAGTTAACTTTTTGGGTATTACTATTGTTGGTCAAAGCGATAAAACAGGTTCAAGTGATGGAGGAATTTATGTTAGTTCCATAATGAAAGGGTAAAACTCTATGAAACTAAAAGTACATAAAATAAATCCTGATGTTTCAGAGGTGTAGTTGCACAAGATGGTCATATTGAACCAGGCGATATGATTCTTCAAGTAAATGATATTCGTTTTGAAGAATTATCAAATGATGAGGCTGTTAAAATTCTACGTGAAGTTGCCAAAAAACTTGGGTATATCTAATTAACTAGTCTTCAATATTCTCTAATCTGTTTTTCTTTTTCAAAAGACCAATTAAATTAGTTGTAGCCAAATGTTGGGATCCAACTCCACGAGGTTATTTTACATTACCTCGTCATGAACAAGCACGTCCTGTTGATCCATTATCATGGCTTACACATACACAAGCTGTACAAAATACATATAATAATCCTCAACAAGAAATCTTACTTCATCATCAACAATCGTTACTTAATTCAACAACAAATACGAGTTCAACCACATCAAGTATAAATAATACAATGGCTGATAATGAACGTATGTCGTTTGATTTTGTAAAGAAAAAGAATTTTTCTGTATGTGTTTATTTTAGGTTTTGGTCTTAATCTTAATTTAACAATTAATTCTGATATGGGTACTATTGTACGAGCTGTGGCTGAACCTAATTCAGGTTTAGATATACGTGATAGAGAATGGCTTAAAACAACAATACCAAAATCATTTCTTGGTATGAAAGAAAAGAAAATTATTTTTAAAAATAATTAATTTTTATGAGTATTATTTTAGGTTCTGATTTACTTAATTGGTTATTTGAAAATGTCGATGGATTTGTTAATCGAAATGATGCAAGAAACTATGCCTCATCTATGCTTAAAGCAGGTTAGATTAGACATACAGTTCATAAATTAACATTTTCTGAAAAATGTTATTATGTTTTTGGCGATATTTGTTCACAAGGTAGATAAAATCTTTTTCGTTTCGAAAGGTTTTATTTATTTATTTTTAATTTTTATTTAGGTATTTTTCAATTGACACTTGATGAAAAACGTGACGATTATGAATCTGTTTCTGATCAAACAAGTACTATTGATTGTCGTAGTGATGATTCATTATCAACAACGAGACAAAATACTGTTACAACATTTGATTTTGTCGATAAAAATAATGCTCCAAATTTAGAAACATTTCGTCAAGACATCTGTCAAATGATTCAAACAAGTACTGATCCTGAAAAATGTGCAACACGATTACTTCAAGTGGAATTACGTCGTGAACAACAAGTATGTTTTTGAAATTTGAATTGATTTTTGTTTGATTTAAATTTTAGATCGAATTATGTCAAATAATTCTTGATCTTTGTATTCAACGCCAAACATATGAACAGTTTTTAGCTTTACTTGGTCAAAATTTGTGTTTCTCAAAAAAAGAATATGTTGAATATTTTGAGAAACTTTTTCAAGATCAATATGAAACTGTTCATCGTCTTGGACATGCTCAATTGAGAACTGTTGCCAATTTTTTTGCACAGTTACTTATTTCTAATGCTATTTCATGGCGTGTATGTATGTATTCATTTTTAATATCAAATAATATTTATTCTTCTCTTTCTAGGTACTTGATTGTATTCATTTGAATCAAGAAGATAAAACATCACCATCATGTATTTATGTGAAAAATTTATTGTCGGAAGTAATAAAACCCTTGGAAGTACACCCATAATGCAATAGCCGTGTTTTGTCTTTCTGTTATTGTTGTTGTTTTCTTTTTTTTTATGCTTTACTCATGTCTCTTCTTTCTTTGTGTGTATCTTATTGTTGTCATGTTCGCACAAACGAAAAGAACTAATAAAAGTCCAAAGATTGATTTAGTCGAAAAAACAAAACAATTATAATTGTATAGGAAAAAACGCATTTTTCCAGATGGCAACACCGACACCTGAAGAAGTTGATCGACAACTCGATGAATTTATCGATAAACTTGTCGAAGGCAAAGATCATTTGCCAACCAAACAACTTGATGAGGCTTTTTGGAAAGTAAGAAAATATGAGAAATCCTTGTTTATTAAAGATTATTTCATTTTATATGTCTATTAGGATCTAGAACGACATCCATTCTTTCTTAAAGAAATGCCAGAAGATGGTGCTGAACTTCATCCCGCTACCGAAGCTGTACAAGCATTGAAATGGGACGATGAAGATGATACACCTTTAGGTAGTAAAACTGTATTTAATATAAACTAATTGAACGATACTCATATGCAAACGCCGGACAGTAAACCTCAGTCGTTGCTGTAGAGACCTGTGATCTTCACTATTAGAAAGAGGAATATAACAATGCATCAAACCCTATCTTATTGATTTTCTGTTTTTTTTCCAAAAGCACAGCGAAAAACGCATTTTTCTAGTGATTTTGGGAGACAGACTGACTAGTTTCTATGGTTCATTATGAACTGACTCTAGTAATGTTCGTCTTGCTCTTTTTTTTTTACAGATCTTTGACCGATAGTTCTAATGCACGTTTAAAAATTAAAGATTCATGCTCTAGATAAATTTCCGTAACGCACGATCGAAAACCTTAGAAAATCTGTAAGAAGAATTCAATGCGCCTTTTCCTTCTATTTCGAATGATGAAATCATATGTTTCGTCTCTTCTGGATCTATTGATAAATATCATTTCACTGAACTTATACCTGCATGTTTTGGATGAAATAGCTAAATTAAATTGTGAGTGCAGACGTCAGAAATGATAATTCATCCGTACGAATATCATTGAATATTAAAGGATATAGTATGTCCTGAGGAAATGAAATGAACTATTTCTTCACAAACGTCAGTCTAGATTCCAGCGAATAACCATTTTCATTCACATCCTACTTGCTTTTTGAATCAACTAGACTCAAGAATTTTCTCCTACAGGAGAGTTAGCCATTTCTTGGCTTCGCTACTGCATATAACTATGAAGTTTCTGATTAAATCTATTTTGAATAAACTTTAGATAAAGCAAACAAATTTAAAGAAGAAGGCAATAAATATTATCAGTTAAAGAAATATCGCAATCATGGGCGGGCCGGCATAGGGGCGAAAGGGGGCAATTGCCCCCCCCCCCCCCCCCCCCCCCCACACCCTCTCTCTCCTCTTTGTTGGCTGCGGCGCTCAACCAACAAGAGAGAAAAATCAGAGTCACCCTATAATGCACGCGACAGCATAGTT